CAAAAGAGCTACAGTCACTCACCGATCGTGCGTGGAGGCGTGTTGGCGAGCATGGTAGTCAAGTTGGCGAAGAACGGACTCTTGAAGGAAATAACTGGTTCGTCCTCGTTGATCGTGACCCCCGTGTTGGTGAACATCTCCTTCATGAAGGCCAGGAAGTTAAACTGTCAAGGAAAAGGAAGGAGGAGTTAAACTGTCAAGGCGAAGGAAGTCTGTCAAGGAAGGGAAGGAGGAAGTTTAAACTGTCAAGGAAAAGCGAGGAGGAAGTTAAACTGTCTTAAACTGTCAAGGAAAAGGGGAGGAAGGGAAAAGCGAGGAGTTAAACTGTCAAGGAAAAGCGAGGAGGAAGTTAAACTGTCAAGGAAAAGCGAGGAGGAAGTTAAAAGTTAAACTGTCAAGGAAAAGCGAGAGAAGTTAAGGAAGCGAGGAGGAAGTTAAACTGTCAAGGCTGTCAAGGAGGAAAGTTAAACTGTCAAGGAAAAGCGAGGAAGCTGTCAAGGAAAAAGCGAGGAGGAAAAAACTGTCAAGGAAAAGCGAGGAGGAAGTTAAACTGTCAGGAAAAGCGAGGAGAAGTTAAAACTGTCAAGGGAAAAAGCGAGGAGGAGTTAAACTGTCAAGGAAAAGGAGGAGGAAGTTAAACTGTCAAGAAAAAGCGAGGAGGAAGGTCAAGGAAAAGCGAGGAGGAAGTAAACTTCAAGGAAGCGAGGAGGAAGTTAAACTGTCAAGGAAAAGCGAGGAGGAAGTTAAACTGTCAAGGAAAAGGAAGGAGGAAGTTAAACTGTCAAGGAAAAGCGAGGAGGAAGTTAAACTGTCAAGGAAAAGCGAGGAGGAAGTTAAACTGTCAAGGAAAAGCGAGGAGGAAGTTAAACTGTCAAGGAAAAAGCGAGGAGGAAGTTAAACTGTCAAGAAAAGCGAGGAGGTTAAACTGTCAAGGAAAAGCGAGGAGGAAGTTAAACTGTCAAGGAAAACGGGAGGAAAGTTAAACTGTCAAGGAAAAGGGAAAGTTAAACTGTCAAGCGAAAAGCGAGGAGGAAGTTAAACTGTCAAGGAAAAGCGAGGAGGAAGTCAAACTGTCAAGGAAAAGCGAGGAGGACGTTAAACTGTCAAGGAAAAGGAAGGAGGAAGTTAAACTGTCAAGGAAAAGCGAGGAGGAAGTTAAACTGTCAAGGAAAAGCGAGGAGGAAGTCAAACTGTCAAGGAAAAGGAAGGAGGAAGTTAAACTGTCAAGGAAAAGCGAGGAGGAAGTTAAACTGTCAAGGAAAAGCGAGGAGGAAGTTAAACTGTCAAGGAAAAGCGAGGAGGAAGTTAAACTGTCAAGGAAAAGCGAGGAGGAAGTTAAACTGTCAAGGAAAGCGAGGAGAAGTTAAACTGTCAAGGAAAAGCGAGGAGAAGTCAAACTGTCAAGTTAAACTGTCAAGGAAAAGGAAGGAGGAAGTTAAACTGTCAAGGAAAAGCGAGGAGACGTTAAACTGTCAAGGAAAAGCGAGGAGGAAGTTAAACTGTCAAGGAAAAGCGAGGAGGAAGTTAAACTGTCAAGGCCGAGGAAAGAAAGTCAAACTGTCAAGGAAAAGCGAGGAGGACGTTAAACTGTCAAGGAAAAGGAAGGAGGAAGTTAAACTGTCAAGGAAAAGCGAGGAGGAAGTTAAACTGTCAAGGAAAAGCGAGGAGGAAGCTAAACTGTCAAGGAAAAGCGAGGAGGAAGTTAAACTGTCAAGGAAAAGCGCTGTCAAGGAAAAGGAAGGAAGAAGGGCGTGTGAGATGATGGACGCCATGACAGTAATATTTTGCCTTGATGTACCGACGAGATTTTTAATTCCTGTTTATTTCTCATTCGTTTTATTTTGTTCGTTTTAATAAGAGAATTTGTATACGGAATTGTCGTTAAAATGAACAACGGGAGCTGAATGTACAATTCATGAAAATATTGTAATTCATTCGCTTATTACGCTTATGACAATCATATAATAATAATGAAAGTAATAATGATAACAATAATAACAATAATTACGATATTAATAATAGTAATAACAACACCATCTATAACAACGTGAGGAAGTATCTATTAATTTCGAAAACCTTATTCCATAAATGACCTATTTTATATATAAAAAAAATATTTCTACAGTGAGAGACCACATTCTGTTGACGAGAAATGAATCATATCATCACTAATTTCGGAAAAACGAGAAAGTAGTAAAGGACAACTTTTTATTCTAGAGGAAAGACCTAGGCAAATATGGGTTTATTGTCCCTAGACTTACTACTCACTTTCTCATCGCTAAGATTTTTTTTTAAACGTAAATCTAAGAATAATGATTCGGTACAGAGGTTCAGTTTCCCACCCACGCTATTACACAAATAAAAAAAATAATAATAATAATAACAGAACGCTCATGTCTCTCTCTATCTTTATCCACTTCTATCTTTATCCACTTCCACTTCTCATCGCTAAGAATTTTTTTTAACGTAAATCTAAGAATAATGATTTGCTACAGAGGAACAGTTTCCCACCCACGCTATTACACAAATTCAAAAAAAAAAAAAAAAAAAAAAAAAAAAAAAAAAAAAACAACGCTCATGTCTCTCTCTATCTTTATCCATTTTCTCATCGCTGCCATTTTTTTTAAACGTAAATCTAAGAATAATGATTTGCTACAGAGGAACAGTTTCCCAACCACGCTATTACACAAATTAAATTTTTAAAAATCACATAGAACGTTCATGTCTCTCTATGTTTATCCACTTTCTCATCGCTAAGATTTTTTTTAAACGTAAATCTAAGAATAATGATTCGCTACAGAGCCACGATTTCCCACCCACGCTATTACACAAATTCAAAAAAAAAAAAAAAAAAAAAAAAACAGAACGCTCATGTCTCTCTCTATCTTTATCCACTTTCTCATCGCTAAGAATCTTTTAAAACGTAAATCTAAGAATAATGATTCGCTACATAGGTTCAATTTCCCACCCACGCTATTACACAAAATTCAATAAAAAAATCACATAGAACACATATCTCTCTCTATGTTTATCCACTTTCTCTTCGCTATTTTTTACGTAAATCTGAGAATAATGATTCGCTACAGAACCACGATTTCCCATCCACGCTATTACACAAATTCAATAAAAACAAAAAATCAAATAGAACACATATCTCTCTCTATGTTTATCCACTTTCTCTTCGCTAAGATATTTTTTTTTTTTTTTTTTTAAACGTAAATCTAAGAATAATGATTCGCTACAGAGGTACAATTTCCCACCCACTCTATTACACAAATTAAAAAAAAAAGAATCATACAAAACACTCATTCCTCTCTCTATGTTTATTATTACACACATTTAATTTTAAAAATCATACAGAACACTCATGCCTCTCTCTATGTTTATAAACACAATAAACATTGACCTCTCCCTTGCTCACCTGCCCAGGTACCCCGTCATCAAGGTCAGCCTGAATTCCAGCTACGTTCGTTTCCCAGCTGCTGTCTGTGGCTTCGACAGACGACTCTATCACCAGCTGTTTGGTGAAATATACGTATGTGAGAAGAGAAGAAAGAAAGAAGGAATAAGAATAAGAAAAGAAAGAAAAAGAAGAAAATAGAAGGAAAAAGAGAGAAAAATAATATATATGTGTGTGTGCGTGTGTGTGTGCGTGTGTGTGTGTGTGTGTGTGTGTGTGTGTGTGTGTATGTGTGTGTGTGTGTGTGTGTGTGTGTTGACGTAAAATTAAACGGTACGGTAAGTAAAAGTGTATATTCTTCACCCCCGCCCCTCACCCGCCCCTCACCCCTCCCCTCACCCCTCCCCATCCCCCCTCACCCCTTCCTCCACCCCACCCCCACCCCCTCCCTTCCCCCACCCCACCCCACCCCTCCCCTCCCCACCCCACCCCCTCCACCCCCACCCAACCTGACCTTGCTGAACGCGATCTCGAAGTCCACCACCTCCTGCACCTGCGCCTCGATCTCTTCGTCAGTAGCGCTCGACCCCAACTCCTGACGAAGCTCCTTGGCCGCCGCTGTCATGAAGGCGCGGTAGGCATCCAGGACGGCGTCGGTGGCCTGGCTCATGAGGCCCAGACCGAGGGGCACCGTGCCTGCTTGGACCTGTCGGGGTGAGGTTGTGGTTGTTGTAGCTCTCGTGTCAGTGGTTGTTGGGCTCTATGGTTGTTGTTCTATGGCTGTTGTTAGTATTTTGTTATGGTTGTGGTTATTGATGGTTGTTGTGTATTACTATTATTAATATTAATTACGGTGCCTGCTTGGACCTGTTGGGGAGAAGTTGTAGTTGTTGTAGTTGTTTTTGTCTTTATGGTTGTTGTTAGTATTCTTGTTGTGGTTGTGGTTGTTACAGATGGTGTTGTTATTACTATTATTAATAATGTAATTATTGTTATTATTGTTATCATTATCACTATCATTATTATTATGATTGCCATTATTATTATTATAACCGTCATCATCATTATTTTATCATTTATCAAAGTTATCATCAAACATCATTACATTATTATTATGATTATTACCATTATCATCGTCATCATCATCATCATCATCATTACCATTTGAAAATTCCAACAAACAAGAAATAGAAGATCCACAAACCCCGTATATACCCCCCATTACCCCCCCCACCTCATCACCTCCTCCATCAAAATATAATAATGGTGATGATGATGATAATATAATAATAATGATAATATAATTGTAATAATGATAATAATTGATAATAACAATAAAATAATAATGATAATAATAATAATAATATAATAAAATAATAATGAATAATATATATATAATAATAATAATAATGAATAATAATAATTAATATAATAATGATATAATAGATAATGATATAATAGTGATAATGAAATAATAATAATAACAACAAACAACAAATAACAACAACAATAACAACAACAACAACAACAACACACAAAACAACAACAACAATAATAAAATAATGATAATAATAATGATATTAATAATAATAATATAACAACAACAACAACAACAACAACAACAACAACAACAACAAAACAATAATAATAATAATAATAATGTACAATATATTGATAATAAGAGTAACAATAATATGATAATAAGAGTAACAATAATATTGATAATAACAACAAAAACAACAACAACAACAAATAACAACAAAGACAACACAACCGGCGTTTGGCCTTACGTAAACAACCCTGCGAGAGACGTTGAAGACATTCGCATCAACGCCCACGCCAAAAATCGGATAGACGTTGATGGAGCGAAGGTCAACGAGAGCGGCGGCGAGGTCAAAGTGGGCGGGGTCCCAGCCGTCGGTCACCATAGGCCACCCACCTTGGTTGTTGAGGCTCGTGATCAGGGGTTGGAGGCCGAGGCTGTCCATGGTGTCTGGTGGGGATGGTGGGGTTATGGGAATTAGTGGGGTGGGTTTTTTTTTTTGGGGGGGGGGGAATGGTGGTATTTTGGGGTATGGGAATAATGGTTGTTTTTTTTTTTTTTTTTTTTTTTTTTGAAGGGGGAGGGTTGGTGGTATTTTGTTTGGTGGGGTATGGAATTATTTTTTATTTTATTTTTTTTTATTGGAGGGGGGGGGGATTAGTGGTATTTTGGGGTATGGAATTAGTGGTGTGGGTTTTTTTTTTTTTTTTTTTTTTTTGAAGGGGGAGGGGTTGGGTATTTTGTTTGGTGGGGTATGGATTTTTTTTTTTTTTTTTTTTTTTTTTTTTTGAGGGTGGGATTGGTGGTATTTTGGGGTATGGAATTAGTGGTGTGGGTTTTTTTTGGAGGGGGGGGGGGGGGGGTTGGTGGTATTTGGGGTATGGGAATTAATGTTTTTTTGGGGGGTGGGGGATTGGTGGTATTTTGGGGTATGGAATTAGTGGTGTGGGTTTTTTTTGGGAGGGGGGGGGGGGGTTGGTGGTATTTTGGGTATGGGAATTAATGTTTTTTTTGGGGGGGTGGGGGATTGGTGGTATTTTGGGGTATGGGAATTAATGGTGTGGTTTTTTTTTTTTTTTTTTTTTTTTGGGAGGGGGATTGGTGGTATTTTGGGGTATGTGAATCATGGTGTGTGTGTTTTTTTTTTTTTTTTTTTTTTTGGGGGGGGTGTTGTTTGGTTGGTATGGTAGATGGTGGGTATTTTTGTGATAAATTTGGATTGGTGGTAATTTTTGTATCGTTTGGTATGGTGGGTAATTTTTGTGCTATTTTTCGGACTGGTATTGTTTTGTTTTCGTTTTGGTATGGTGGGTATTTTTGTGCTATTTTCGGACTGGTATTGTTTTTGTTTCGTTTGGTATGGTGGGTATTTTTGTCATAAATTTGGATTGGTGTTTTTTTTGTTTCGTTGGTATGGTGGGTATTATTATAACCATTATTATACATTATCCATTTGTTAGAGTGAGTATGCTTATATTTGCTATTGATTAGAGAATACAAGGAGGCCCTATCTGCGGAATAATAAGGGCCACAATCCACTGGCGGTCCGGGATTCGAACGCGGGTCAGAAACAATGGACGAGAGAAAGCTACCATGGTACCATTGAGAAAGTCGGGGAAATTATTATTGTTTCCAGATTGAGATATTTTGCCCCTAGACGAAATATGTGTAAAATATGGGGATAAACAATTATAGAAGTTTGTATAGAATGGAGTCTGTGGTTATAGTAAACGGGCTTTCTTTTTGGGGACCGTTTTATTATTAATTATTATTGTTGTTGTTGTTGTTGTTGTTGTTGTTGCTTTGTTATTATTACTATTATCATTATTATTATTATTTTTTTTATCATTATTATTACTAATCATTATTTATTATTATTATTATTATTATTATTATTATCATTATTATCATTAATATTATCATTTTTTTATATTATCCATTACTATATTATTGTTATTATTTAATTATTTATTATTATTATATTTTATTTATTATTATTACTGTTATTTATTATTGTTATATTATGTTATTTTTTAAAAACCGTGCATCTTTTGTGTATTGAGAAACATGAGATCGTCCTTGACATAGTTATGGTATGTTATACGTGTCTATGTAAACACAAATAACACTAATTAAGATAAGTATATATATGTGTATGCCTGTGTGTGTGTGTGTGTGTCTGTATTTGTGTGTTGTGTCTGTATTTGTGTGGTATGTTCTGTGTGTGAGTTATGTCTGTATTGTGTGTGTATGTGTCCTATATTTGTGTGTGTGAGTATGTCTGTATTTGTGTGTGTGTGTCTGTATTTGTGTGTGAGTAGTGTCTGTATTTGTGTGTGAGTGTGTCTGTAAATTTGTGTGAGTATGTGTGCGTATTTGTGTGTGAGTATGTGTGTAATCTGTGTGTGTGATGTGTTCTGTAAATTGTGTGTGAGTATGTTCTGTATTTGTGCGTGTGTATCTGCAATCTGTACGTGCGTGCGGTGTGTATGTTTACACCAATAAACATACATTAGATTCCGACAGAGCTATCGATACCACACACCCACCCACCCACCCCCTACCCACCTCCACCTCCCATACATCAAGAAACACAGCAACACCTCCACTCTCCCTGACCTGTGTCCATCCACCCAAAACATCAGAAACACAGCATCCACTCTCCCACTGACCCGAACCATCACACCCTCCACTCCTCCCACTGAATCCCCAACATCAAAAACAGCAACACACTCCACTCCTCCCACTCCCACCTGTGTCCATCCCCCCAAACATCAAGAAAACACAGCAACACACCTCCACTCCTCCACCACCTGTGTCCATCCCCCCAAACATCAAGAAACACAGCAACACCCTCACTCCTCCACTGACCTGTGTCCATCCCCCAAACATCAAGAACACAGCAACACCCTCCCACTCCCCCACTGACCTGTGTCCATCCCCAAACTCAAGAAACACAGCAACACCTCCACTCCTCCCTGACCTACCTCAAGAAACACAGCACACACTCCACTCCTCCACTGACCTGTGTGTCCATCCCCCCAAACATCAAGAAACACAGCAACACACTCCACTCCTCCCACTGACCTGTGTCCATCCCCCAAACATCAAGAAAACACAGCAACACCCTCCACTCCTCCCACTGACCTGTGTCCATCCCCCCATCCACAGCAACACACTCCACACTGACCTGTGTCCACCCCCCAAACAGAAACACAGCAACACACTCCACTCCTCCCACTCCACTGACCTGTGTCCATCCCCCCAAACATCAAGAAACACAGCAACACACTCCTCCTCCCACTGACCTGTGTCCATCCCCCAAAACATCAAGAAACACAGCAACACACTCCACTCCTCCCACTGACCTGTGTCCGAAACATCTCCTCCCACTGACCTGTGTCCATCCCCCAAACATCAAGAAACACAGCAACACACTCCACTCCTCCCACTGACCTGTGTCCACCCCCCAAACATCAAGAAACACAGCAAACACCCCCACTCCTCCCACTGACCTGTGTCCATCCCCCAAACATCAAGAAACACAGCAACACCTCCACTCCTCCCACTGACCTGTGTCCATCCCCCCAACATCAAGAAACACAGCAACACCTCCACTCCTCCCACTGACCTGTGTCCACCCCCCATCATCAAGAAACACAGCAACACCTCCACTCCTCCCACTGACCTGTGTCCATCCCCAAACATCAAGAAACACAGCAACACCCCCCACTCCTCCCACTGACCTGTGTCCATCCCCCCAAACATCAAGAAACACAGCAACACCCTCCACTCCTCCCACTGACCTGTGTCCACCCCCAAAACATCAAGAAACACAGCAACACCCTCCACTCCTCCCACTGACCTGTGTCCATCCCCCAAACATCAAGAAACACAGCAACACCCTCCACTCTCCCCACTGACCTGTGTCCACCCCCCCAAACATCAAGAAACACAGCAACACCCTCCACTCCTCCCACTGACCTGTGTCCATCCCCCAAACATCAAGAAACACAGCAACACCTCCACTCCTCCACTGACCTGTGTCCACCCCCCCAAACATCAAGAAACACAGCAACACACCTCCACCCTCCCACTGACCTGTGTCCATCCCCCCAAACATCAAGAAACACAGCAACACCCTCCACTCCTCCCACTGACCTGTGTCCACCCCCCAAACATCAAGAAAACACAGCAACACACTCCACTCCTCCCACTGACCTGTGTCCACCCCCCCCAAACATCAAGAAACACAGCAACACACTCCACTCCTCCCACTGACCTGTGTCCATCCCCCAAACATCAAGAAACACAGCAACACACTCCACTCCTCCACTGACCTGTGTCCATCCCCATCAAGAAACACATGGTGTCCAAAAACATCAAGAAACACAGCAACACCCTCCACTCCTCCCACTGACCTGTGTCCATCCCCCAAACATCAAGAAACACAGCAACACACTCCACTCCTCCACTGACCTGTGTCCCCCCCCCAACATCAAGAAACACAGCAACACACTCCACTCCTCCACTGACCTGTGTCCACCCCCCCAAACATCAAGAAACACAGCAACACACTCCACTCCTCCCACTGACCTGTGTCCCATCCCCCAAACATCAAGAAAACACAGCAACACACTCCACTCCTCCCACTGACCTGTGTCCACCCCCCAAACATCAAGAAACACAGCAACACACTCCACTCCTCCCCACTGACCTGTGTCCATCCCCCAAACATCAAGAAACACAGCAACACACTCCACTCCTCCCACTGACCTGTGTCCACCCCCCCCCCCAAACATCAAGAAACACAGCAACACCCTCCACTCCTCCCACTGACCTGTGTCCATCCCCCCAAACATCAAGAAACACAGCAACACCCTCCACTCCTCCACTGACCTGTGTCCACCCCCCACATCAAGAAACACAGCAACACCCTCCACTCCTCCCACTGACCTGTGTCCATCCCCCCAAACATCAAGAAACACAGCAACACACTCCACTCCTCCCACTGACCTGTCCATCCATCCCCCAACATCAAGAAAACAGCAACATCCACTCCTCCACTGACCTGTGTCCACCCCCCAACATCAAGAAACACAGCAACACACTCCACTCCTCCCACTGACCTGTGTCCATCCCCCCAACATCAAGAAACACAGCAACACACTCCACTCCTCCCACTGACCTGTGTCCCATCCCCCCAAACATCAAGAAACACAGCAACACCCTCCACTCCTCCCACTGACCTGTGTCCACCCCCCCAAACATCAAGAAACACAGCAACACCCTCCACTCCCACTGACCTGTGTCCATCCCCCCACATCAAGAAACCTCCACTCCTCCCACTGACCTGTGTCCATCCCCCAAACATCAAGAAACACAGCAACACTCCACTCTCCCACTGACCTGTGTCCATCCCCCCAAACATCAAGAAAACACAGCAAACACTCCACTCCTCCACTGACCTGTGTCCATCCCCAAAAACATCAAGAAAACACAGCAACACACTCCACTCCTCCCACTGACCTGTGTCCACCCCCCCAAACATCAAGAAACACAGCAACACACTCCACTCCTCCCACTGACCTGTGTCCACCCCCCCAAACATCAAGAAACACAGCAACACCCTCCACTCCTCCCACTGACCTGTGTCCACCCCCCCAAACATCAAGAAACACAGCAACACACTCCACTCCTCCCACTGACCTGTGTCCACCCCCCAAACATCAAGAAACACAGCAACACACTCCACTCCTCCCACTGACCTGTGTCCATCCCCCCAACATCAAGAAACACAGCAACTCCACTCCTCCACTGACCCATCCCCCCAAACATCAAGAAACACAGCAACACCCTCCACTCCTCCCCACTGACCTGTGTCCATCCCCCCAAACATCAAGAAACACAGCAACACCTCCACTCCTCCCACTGACCTGTGTCCATCCCCCCAAACATCAAGAAACACAGCAACACCCTCCACTCCTCCCACTGACCTGTGTCCATCCCCCCAAACATCAAGAAACACAGCAACACCCTCCACTCCTCCCACTGACCTGTGTCCATCCCCCAAACATTCCACTCCTCCCACTGACCTGTGTCCATCCCCCCAAACATCAAGAAACACAGCAACACACTCCACTCCTCCCACTGACCTGTGTCCCCCCCCCAACATCAAGAAACACAGCAACACCCTCCACTCCTCCCTGACCTGTGTCCATCCCCCAACATCAAGAAACACAGCAACACCCTCCACTCCTCCCACTGACCTGTTGTCCACCCCCCAAACATCAAGAAACACAGCAACACCCTCCACTCCTCCCACTGACCTGTGTCCATCCCCAAACATCAAGAAACACAGCAACACCCTCCACTCCTCCCACTGACCTGTGTCCACCCCCAAACATCAAGAAACACAGCAACACTCTCCACTCCTCCCACTGACCTGTGTCCATCCCCCAAAACATCAAGAAGACAGCAACACACTCCACTCCTCCCACTGACCTGTGTCCATGCAAGTCTCGTAGAAGCGGTTCACCATATGCAGGGGTTCCGCAGCACCTGGCGAGACGGGGCTCTCCAAGATCAGTTTAAGACGTTTGGTCAAGATGTCACCTGCTTCGTAGAATGTGCCGGTGCTTGGGGAAGAGAGGGAGGTCAGAAACAATGTTTTGGGGGTATTTACAAAAATGTAGGGAGGTGAGACACAATGTTTTTTTTTTGGGGGGGGGTATTTACAAAAATGTAATATGACATAAACAAGTATAAACACACACGGATAAACTTATAAAAGCGAAAAGACAGACACAAATGTGCACACACTCAAGCAAACAGACAAATATACAAGCAAGCAACGAACAAACACAAGCAAACAAGACAAATATACAGACGTAAACATACAAAACACAAATGTGCCCACATTCAAGCATACAGACAAATACACAGACAAACAACGAACACACACAAGTAAACACACAAACACTAAAACAAACATACAAAACACAAACGTGCACACACACAAGCAAACAACGAACACACACAAACACACAGACAAACATACAAACACAAGCGTACACACACACGCAAAGAACACAAACACACAGACAATCATACAAAAACAATCATACAAACACAAACGTGCACAATCTCAAGCAAACAGACAAATACACAGGCAAACAGCGAACACACACTAACACACAGAAAAACATACAAAACACAAACGCACATACTCAAGCAAAATGACAAATGCACAAACAACGAACACACACAGACAAACACATAAAACAAACATACAAACACAAGCGTACACACACACAAGCAAACGCACACTAACACACAGAAAAACATGCAAAACACAAACGTGCACACGCACAAGCAAACACAGACAAACGCACAAAAACAAGCATACAAAAACACAAACGTACACACACACACAAGCAAACACACAGACAAACAAACATACAAAACACAAACGTGCACACACTCAAACAAACAGACAAATACACAAACAACGAACACACGCAAGCCAACAAACACACACACACTCGCCACACATAC